GGGCCTGGGTGGCCCGTCTCCAGGGGTCTCTCCAGGGAACCAGCAGACAGGGAGGCAGGGCCTCGCGTGCCCAGGGCTGTCCCAGGGCCATGTGGTAGAAAGGGCTTTGCGATTCCTGGGTTCCATCCTGGCTCTGCCCCTTTCCTTCTCTGAGCTGTCCCTTCATCTGTAAAGAAGGTAGCTGGACTTGCCATCTCTAACCTCCTGCCTCGGAGCCTAGAACCTTCTTCAGGTCACAGTATGTGGACATTTTACAGCACCCACTCCCACCCCAGCACCCAGAACGGGCCTGGCACACAGCAGGTGCTCAGAAATGCTACTGAACCAAATGAGCACACTAAAGGTCTCTCAATATCTAGGCCCAGGGACCACCCTGCACCTTCTGACCAGGCCACACGGCAGGCCAAAGGGCAGAAGCACCCACAGGTGAGGCTGTCAATTCCATACACCTGCCCCCAAGCCCGCTGACTAAATCTGAAAGAGGTGACAGCAGCCCTGTCATTCCCAGCCCACCTGGGAGCCACATCTCCCCCTCCCCACTGACGTCAGTGGAACCCACCAAAGCCCAAACACAAGACTGAAAAGCAGATGCAGAATTGGTCTCTCCCTCAGGTGGGAGACGGCCCAAAATCCAAGAGGGAGGCCAAGAGGAGAGTGGGGAGGACCCGACCCCCGCGAGAGGGGGGCTGAGAGCAGGGAGAGGAAGCGGAGCAGAAGCAGGAGGACAAAGGGACGCGGCAGCCCGCTCCCACACCCCAGGGCAGGCCCGGCCTTGGAAGGGCCTCAGGCATCGGGCCAGTGGGGACATGAGTCCTCCGGCTCCCCCTCCTCCAGGAGCAGCCGGGGAGAGACCTTCTCGGCTCCCAGTGAGGGTCTCCTAAAAGGAGAGTGGCCTGGTAAAAAATGTATGTTGTAGAGCAGCTCCAGAGAGCCAGGGTTGACGGGAGGAGGGAAAAGATGGCTCACGGAACTGGTGGGGCTGTGCTGGCAGGGAGGAGGTCTCTGGGCAGCTGGCAGGAGATGCCCAGCTCACAGCAGGAGCACACAGCACTGCGGGGGGCGGGGGGGGGGGAGGGAGGGAGGGGCCAGGATGGGCCAAGCCCCACCCCACAGCGCCCACACCTACCTGCTGCTGGGCCTGGATCCTCATGTACTCGGCCCTCTGCTTGCCATGCTTGCCTTTGTCGGGGCTGCCTGCCTGGCCCTGGACTGCCTTCAGCCGAGAGGCCCCTGGAGTCACCACCTTCATGGGTGGCACACTGCCACCACCACTCTGCAGGAAGAGGAACAGGGTGGGGGTTGGAGGCGGGATCATTCCGGAATCCTAGGCGCTGGGTGACCTGATCTCTGGGGCTGGGCTGGGACCTCCTCGGTGGGCCCTTGGCAACTGGAGACCTTTGGACCTCCCGGGCCCCACATCCCAGTCCAGGACCCAGGTCCACTCTCTGAGGCCAGGCTTAAGGCCTCCCTGCAGAAGAGGGGACAGGGGCCTCCCAGCCAGGTTCCCAACAGCTCCCCAGGGAGGGCTCTTTGGTGGTTTCCTTGAGTAACCCAGGGGTAACAAGTACTCTCCCGGGGAAGCCACTTCCAAAGTGAGAGTCCTTGCCATCACCCCCACTGCTGGGTCTGGCAGAGCATGCCTGAGATTTGAGGCGGGGTCTTTATAATGGCAGACAGAGTCAGATTAGCAGCCCCAGACCTATGTCTTCCTCTGAACGGGAGAATGGGGGTGAAGTCTCCCTAGAGATGGACAAGCCCAGCTCCTTTGAACCACCCCAGGTACCACCCTGCCCACAAGGGCTCTGGGGAGTCAGAGGCGAAGACAGAGAAACAACAGAGGCAAAGAGAGTCAGACAGGAGAGGGGGAGGGGAGCGCGGGGATGGAAAAGGAGGAGAGAACTTTATTTGTTGGTTTATAGATACAGAGCAGAGGGGAGAGGACCCGGTCCCTGCCAGGGCTGGCTGGGCTGATCCCTGGGTAGGCCAGCTTCCCAGCCTCCCAGGCTCTGCCTGCAAACCCCATATGGCACCGGGCTCTCAGGAGGCTGGCAGGGGCTGAGAAAAGGCCAGTGGGAGGAGGGGGCTGGTGTGGTGCCCCTGCAGCCCCCCCACTCTGCAGCTCTGAGGACAGAGTCTAGAGCATGAAGGCAGGGGGAGAGGCTAGGGGAGGAGGCAGCCACCTGGGGACCGGGTGGCAGGGGTGGGGGGCTGCCAGGGGGCCCCATGGCGAGGGCTGCGCCCATCTGGCTCAGAGTGGCTTCCAGCTCCCGGAGTGTCTCCTCCAGGCTGTCCATCCGCTGGGTGGTGGCACCTCTCACTGTGCAGCCCAGGCCGGCAGCGGGCTGGCCCCTGGGCTCCCCACTGCCGGGTTGGACATCCTGTCCCGTGTCCTTGGGGGTCTCCTCTGCGTGGCTGTCAGCAGTGGAGGGCTCCAGAGTCCCGTCAGGGGCTGGTCCCCAAGAACAGGGGACGCCGGCTCCTCCCTCCTCTGCGATGCAGCTCCTCGTCCCCAGTCTCTTCTGAGCCGCCCCGTCCTTCTCAGGCGCCAAGCTGCTCCTGGGCTGGGCAGCCTTGGTCACTACCTCTGGCAGGGCCCGTGCACCATCCCAGCCCCTCCCACTGCCAGCCAGGGTCCGGGGTCGCGGGGTGGGGGCTGTCCTGTGACCGGATTCCTCAGGTCTGGCCTCTGGTGGGGAGGGAGGGTTGGGGGTACACTCCGTCAAGATGATCTGGGGGACGCAGAAAGCCCTGGGACTTGGGGAAGCCTGGGGGGAGAAGAAAGATGAGGGAGGCTATGATCCCTGCAAACCAAACACCCTGAGCTGGGATGGTGCGGGCAGGGGGGCGTCAGATGCGGGTGAACCCAGCCCCTTCCTTTCACAGATGGGGAAACTGAGGCAGGGGAGGGTGGTGACTGAGTTCGCTCAACAAGTCAGAGGCAAGGCTGGGACTAGAACTCGGGCCTCTTCTGACCCCATACTGTGGTCTCCCACTTGAGCTCACGCGAGCGTGTGCTTAGAACAGCGTCAGCACTTGGCAAATATTAGCTATTTGTTGAATTGACCTGGCCTCAAAGGGTGGGGCTGTCACCCTAATCTCAGGCCAGAGACTCCTGGCCCCGTCACCCTCTACTTTTGGAGCTTTCTCCAAGGGCTTCACAGCCACAAGGGGAGGGGCTCAGCCAAATTCTTCTTCGGCACGAAATGGCTACTGCTCCTGTGGTCCTCACTTTACAGATGAGGACATTGAGGGTGGGTGTCCTGAGATCCACCCAAGGTCACTTACCCCCAGCTAGTTAGTGGCAGAGCCAGGATTTGAACCCAGGCAGTCTGACTCCAAGTCCAGTGCTCTTTCCACCAAAAGGAGCCATGGGGATATTCCAGGGGGGCAGCAGGGACCTCAAGCCTCCTCCCCCAAGGCAACCCACCCAGCCTTGCCACCTGCTTACCTGGAGGTGGCGGGGTGCAGGCTGGGAAGACAGAGAGGCGACCCATGCCTGCCCGGCTCCACTGCTCGATGGCGCCACAGGATACAGAGGGGAAGCCAGCCGAAAAGGCCAGCAGGGGGGCTTTGCCCACTGGACCCCTTCAGGATTAGCTCCCAAAGGCCAGAAAGAGGCAGGAGCGGCTGGGTGCAGTGGGCCAAAGTGCCAAGGGCATGGCCAGCCCATGGGGCACCCCTTCCGTACTGCTCATCCCCAGATGGCTCCTTAGACTGCTCTGTGCCCATCCTTTGCCCGGCAGACAGTTCTGTCCACCTGTTTAGTGCCTGTCTGCTCCCCCTGGCCAGGGAGCCAAAGCACCACAAGCTTCAAGCCTCAAGCCAGGCCAGAAATCAGGTACGAGACAGCGTGGAGCCCACTGTGGGCCAGAGAGAACCAGACAAGGTAGGTGAGCATGTGTGTGCACAGGAGGCCGCCCTCTCCCCAGAGCAGAGGCCCTCCTGCCCCAACCTGACTGGGAAGAGGGAGAGATTCCCAGGCCGCCTTCCCCAGGTCCCCCTCCCCAAGCACAATCCCCTGGGAGGGGGGTGCAGACAGCGGTCTACCCCCAAATTCCCAAGAAAGAATAAAGAGAGAATAAGTGTAGCAGGACAGCAGCAAGGACTGAAGTTAGAGAGAAGGAAGAACTTCCCAATGCTAAGAGACAAAACCAGCAGCTGAGGAAGGGCATAGGCTGCTTCTACTCCAAGTTCCCTGACCACTGGGGCCATGGGATAGAAGGAGGCTATCAGTGAGCCTTTCTCCTGGCCCCTGGTGCAAGGCATAGATTCTAGGGGGGGAAACGGAGCCCCCACCCGGCACCAGCAGCAGAGGAGAGGAGTCAGGTGCAGGAACTAGGCAAGGGCTCAGGACAAAGTCAGATTCTGAGTTGGACCTAAAGTCATGTAGTGAGCAAGATCCAAGCTCCCATCTTGGACCAAGACAAAACCCAGGCTCTGGGTCAGATCTGAACTCTGGCTGCAGATTGGAACAAAATACCCAACTCAGAATCAAGCCTGTAAGAAAATGCAGACACGAGGCGCCACCAGGTACCAGACTGCTAGAGTCTCGAAGAGGGAGGGAAGGGTTACACGCCTGTCCTTGTGGCAGGGCAGGGGTGAGGCCAGGCGGGTGAGGCTGCGGCAGTGGCCAGACGTGGGGACGTGACTGGCGTGTTAGCGGGTTAGCGTGAGAGGTGAGGAGAGGAAGGTGTGGAGGCACAGGCAGAGACAGAGCCGTGAGAGGTGGGGGACAGCCCGTTACCTTCCATGTGGGGCCCTGGGCTGAGCCCCCAGGGGGCCCCAGGTCCTGGGGTGCCAGCAAGGTGGGGATCGGCTGGCGGCGGGGCGTGGGGGGGAGGGAAGACACTGAGCTTCTCTCAAACACCTGAGGAGCAGAAGGTGGGGGCAGGTTTGGAGAAGGGGATACAAGGAGGACAGGGGTGCTGGCCTGTGGCCCCCCGGGAGGGACGCCAGCCTTACTCCTCAGCCCCTCACCATGCTCACTGGCCACTCTGCCCTCCATCTTGTCTCCTCCTCCCGAGGCCTAGGTAGTCAGGGTCTCCAGCCACTTGGGGAGAGGGGCTGAGAGCACTTGAGGATGGGTGACTTACGGCACAGGGGGTGCTCAAGGTACGTGGGTATCAGGGTGTTAAAGCACTCTGTTCTCAGAACATTCAGGCCTGGGGGTCTCAGAGCATAGGGGGTCTCGGGGCAGCGGTGTTGGGGGTGGGCTCAGAGACTACCATAAAAAAAACCCTCAAACGTGCAAAGAGGGACTTCGGGCCCCCTCCCCCCATTTTACAGCGGTGGCGAAATCGAGGCAAGAAGGAGGGGTCCCGAACAGGCCAGCACTCAGCAGGAGCCCGGAAGCCCAGTCCCCTCCCCAGTGGGGTCAGCTTGGTGGGGAGAGGGAGGAGCCTGGCTCAGGAGGACTCAGGGACCAGGCATGCCCTTGACCCACCTCTAGCTCGGCGATGATGCGGTCCTCGTCGTCCTCATCCTTGATGGCAGAGGCCATGATGGGTGGTGTGGAGGCCGGGCGGGCCACCTCGGACACGGTCCGGCGCAGCTTCACTTGGGGCTTCTGCACCTCCAGTTCCTCGGACTCGGCCTTCTGCAAGGCCCAGGCCCCCGTCAGGACCAGGCTCTGCCCCCCATCCGGCACCAGCTCACCGCACAGGCCCCATCCGGGGGGGGCCTTTCCTGCTCCAGCTCCTCATCTGCCGCTTCCTCTGTCCCCTGCCAGAGGCCCCCTTCCCGTGGTGGAAGCCCGAGCCATAAACAGAGTCACCACTGGCCAGCCCCCTCCTTTCCTTCCGCCCCAGAGGGTCTTCAGAGGTCATCTTGGGTATCCCGCTGCCCCGGGTGGGGTTGGTACCTTGATGAAGGCCGAGTCCTTCTTGCTGGTGACCACAACCTCCCCAGTGCGCGTGGTGGTCAGGCCATGGGAGGAGGGGAAGCTCCGGCGGGGAGGGGGCGGCGGGGGCGACTTGGAGGGCTTCTCTGTGCGGTATCGAGGCACCGTCAGCTCATCTGTGGGCAGCCAAGGGGCTGGGGGTCAGGGGACGCTTAACTTTGCAGTCTGTGCACCAAGGGGAGAAACCTTGCTTCCTCCTCCAGGGAGGAGGGGAGAGGAAAGCTCAGGGAGGAGGACACAGGTCCCTCCTTGTTCTCTCTCACTTCCCCATGAAACCACTCCCGTCACTCCTCTTAGTGCACTCCCACCCCAGCTACTCAAAGTGCAGTCTGCGGACCAGCAGCACTGGCAGCACCTGGGAGCCTGTTAGAAATGCAGAAGCTCAGGCCTCACCCACAGCTGCTGTATCAGAACCCACATTTTGGCAGCTCTTCCGGCGATTTCGCGCACACATTCAAGTCTGAGAAACGCCGCTCTCGTCCATCTCTTTCCCGCCTGTCCCTCAGCGGCTGCCCTGCACACACCTTCCTCTCTTCTCCATCAAGAGACAGCAGTCACACGTGCAAGAGCCCGGCCTGACCCACCAGGCTCCCCCTCCCCGTTTTTCCAGGGGTGGGGACTGTTTCCAAGGGCAACCTATAGAAAAGTCACTGGAGCCTGACACTCCGCTGCTTGGAGCCCCAGTGGCTCCCCATGACTCCAAACCATGCCCAAACTCCTTGGCCCAGCACCCTCCACGACTGCCCATCTTTCAGCCTCAGCTCTGCTTGCTACTTCCTGGCCTGAGCCCTGCTCAGCAACACCAAACACACACCTCGGGCCATTTGCACATGCTGTTCCCTCTCCCTGAAGTGCCCTCTCTCACTGTCCATGGAGAGGCCTACTTGCTTTCAAGACTCCAGTGGAAAGTCACCTCCAACGGAAAGCCCTTCCTGCTCTTCCAGGGCCTTCTCTAGGACTGCGTGGCCACGGCTACAGGTGGCACCTGTGTCCTATTTTCTGGTTTACCCACTAAGCATGGCCCGGGACAGATCTCTTAGCTACATTGTGCCTTAGTGTTCTCATCTATAAAATGGGAATAATTACCGTATCTTCCCCCTGGGTTGTTGCAAAATTGTAAGGATTAATATATAGAAAGCATTTGGAGTAGTTCCCGTCACATAGTAAGTGCCCGATAAACAAAAATGTTAGTATTACACCGCCACTAAATTTTAAGCTCCTTGGAAACATGCAGTGTCTTATCTCCTCATCCTCAGCACACAGTAGGTGCTTAACAAATACGTACAGCAGGAATGAATGAATGGTGACTGCTATTCCTGGTTGGATTTCTGCCTCCCCTGTGAGCTCACGGGCTCGGAGAGCACAGAAACCACGACCGTAGGGACCAGCACCATGCCCTGTCAGCACAGCCTGGTTCAGAGCACGTGCTGGGTCATGACATGCAGACAGAGCCTGGGCCTGCTCATCCTCCCTGCGTGGGTCTCTCAGCAGCAGTCACGGCAGCGGGAAAAGCCCCGGACGGAGTCCAGCGCTACCCTGCCCTCTGGGTCTCCCTATAGTGGCTGAAGGTCAGGATGCTGATGCCCCAGCACCTCCCTCATCTGGCAGGATGACCGCAGAGGGTCTCACGCCCAAGGGCCTCCCCCACCAACCCCAGAGCTCCTGACGATGGGGGCCCCCCTCCTCTGGGCTCTTTGCCAGTCCCCTACCTGCCCCCATACCTGAGCCCCTCCTTCCACTGGGCTCCGTTCGGGGGGCTGCCTTCTGGCCGTGGGGGGCCTTCGGGGGCTTGTGGTCAGGGGTGGGGGCCAGGCCCGGGTGGGCCTTGCTCGCACAGTCCAGGTCAGGGATGGCCTTCAGCAGCTCTGCCTGCGTCTCCTCCAGCAGCCGGTTGATGTCCTTGGCGCTGTACTGGGTCAGGGCTGCCCGCTTCTCCTCCCAGTCCCGTTCGGCAGCCTTGACAGGAGGACTGAGAATCAGCACTGAAGCAGCTGCCTGCTCCTGGCCTCAGGGGCGGCAGCCCCTTCCCCCAGCCACACACACCAGGAATGGAGAAGGGAGTTTGATCCAGCCCCTGGGGGACCCTCAGACTTCTCCTTGAGTGGCTCCCTGTAAGTCTGGAACGCCGCCTTCGTCACATGCTACTCTCCTGATACACTTAGCCCTGTTGGGGGACATTCTATTCTGCTTCGTTGACCACAGGGCCCATTCTTATGCCAGCATCACACTGCCTTGATTGTCACAGGTTCATAAAATGCTTTTCTGTCTGGCAGAACTAATGCCACCATCCATGTGCTTCTCAGACTTCCTCCTCCCCCAGGAAAAGGTACCCACGTGCTGGCACTTCCCAACCTAGGATGGTGGCGAGAATACGCGAGCCTGGCTTGTGCCTCCCCCCATCCCGGGCCCAGCACCTCAACAGACACAGCCTTGTCCACGCTTCTCTTGCCAGCAGCGTCCAGGCCTTTGGTAGGGTTGCCCTTAGGAGTAGGAGGGGCTCCCTCAGCGGGCCCACTCAGCTCATGGAGGTTCAGTGGAGGGCTGGGGGGTGGCATTTCGAAGTCCAAGCTCTTGTTGAAGTCCGTCTCGGCCGTCACCTTCTTGGGGGACTGATTCAGGAGATTGTTGGGGGGTGGCCACACACCCTCGTCCACTTGCCTGGGGTTGGGAGAGTTAGGGGCAGCTGTGAGACCCACGTGTTGGGGGCCCCGTGTGAGGGAAGCCTGGCCTGGGGGAGGCAGGGTGTGAGGAGGGCTCTGGGATCTTGCAGGACAGATGGAAGGGTCTGGGGAGGAGTGACTGCATCCAGCATAAGGGAGAGCCAAGCCTACACCATGCCAGGGGTCACAGGTCAGAGTTGACGTTCAGATCCAGTTGGCTTATCAGTGACCTCTAAAGGAGTCAGGATAAGGGGCCAGGCCGATCTATTGATCTACGCCCAGTGTGTGACCTCCTGGGAAATCGGAGGTCGGAGATAAGAAGTCAGGGATAGAAAGACCTTCGGATCTGGGCCAGCATGTCTGTGACCCCACGGCAGCGCTTGAGTAGCCCGTCTAGGCGCTGCGGCTCCTCCTTCAGGAACTTCACGGCCTCCACCTCCACACGCAGCACTACCCGCATCTTGCTCTGCAGGCCTGGGAAGTGAGCTGAGGGGACCAGAAGGAGTGAGCTGGGGAGGGAGCAGCTCCAAGGACAGGGAGGACAGGCAGCAGGGAGGGCAGCACCTGGGGGTGGGCGGTGGGGGTGAAGCAGGGACTCCCCCACTGGACCACGTGCCACACTCTCGCCTCCAGGCTCACCCTTGAGCTCAGTCAGGGTCTCCCCGAGCTGCTTCAGCACCAGCGCCTTCTCCTCCAGCTCCGGCCCAGGCACCAGCCGGTGGTTGTGGGACACATCCCGTTGGATCTTCTCCACCGACTTCTCCAGGTCACTGCGGCCAGAAAGAGACCCTCTCAGCCCTTCTGGCCCCAGCCCAGCCCCCTGAAATTGGGCAGCTGGAAAGAAATCAGGCCACCGGTCGGATCACAATTAAAAGCCATTCACCAGGCTACAGGCCCAGGTGAGATCAAACCTCAGAGAAATGCCAAACATCAGCCCGAATCTCCCTCCCTATAACTTGCATCCTCTGCCCTTTCTGCCAAAGAGGCAGCAGAGAACCTGGCAGCCTTCCCGGGAACGGGAGGCCACTGCATGTGCCCCTGTGGGGTCTCCTGTCTTGAGGGGTGGCCCCTGCCATGTCCATCTACCTTTTCTCAAATGATCCAGGCACTCAGCCTCTTCCCTTGAGGACAAAACTGTTTTCGGGTGTCAGCAGATTTATGCTGAGCTTGTGCCGTTTAAAACCTCACATCTTTATTTTTTAAGAGTATTTTTGTTTGTTTATTTATTTGAGAGAGACAGAGACAGCATGAGTGGGGGAGGGGGAGAGAGAAAAGAAGAGAGAGAGAATCCCAAGCAGGCTCTGCACTGTCAGCACAGAACCTGATGCGACGTGGGGCTCAAACTCACGAAACCGTGAGATCATGCCCTGAGCTGAAACCAAGAGCCGGACGCTCAACCGACTGAGCCACCCGGGAACCCCGAGCCCCACATCTTTCTAAAATGTAAAATCACACCAAGTCATTACCTCCTGGGTTGAACCTTACATGGATCCCATCGTCCTGAAGCTAAAATCCAAGCCAAGAAGGGCATGAGGGTAGTAGTTGAAAATTTGGCTCTAGAATCAGATCCAAATTCCAATCCCAGCTCTGCCCGTCCCAGCAGAGAGACCTTGGACAAGTCACGTACTATTTCTGGGCTGTAACCTTCTTATCCAAGAAATGGGGGGTGGTGAGAGTTCTTCCCTCCAGGGGCCATTGTGAGGATTAAGGGGGCAAATACACATGGGAAAGGGGTGGTAAGGGGTCAGTCCCTGGGGGCTGCTCTTAGTTTCCCTTCAGCCACATCCCCTGTCCTCCTCTGGCTTCCTTCTGTTTAGAACGGTCTACGACTTCTCTGAGGTCCTTGTACTTGTACTTTACGATGCCATTTCTTCTGCCTAGAACATTCCATTTACACACACACACACACACACGCTCATGCACACATAGGCACACGTGTGACTAATTCCCACTCCTTTCTCAGGTCTCAGTGGGAACTTCTTCCCCACTCCCTACCCCTGGGAATTGGGAGTCTGCTTTCTGCCTCCCTCACCAACCCTTGGAGCTCTTGCATGCTGGGCTGTGTAGCTCCTGGCAGGCAGAGAGGGACCGGGTCTTCTGGATTCATCTCCAATTCCCGGCACCTGGCACAGTGCCTGGAGCAGAATAGATGTCTGGTAAATAATTGTGGAATGAATGAATAAGTGAAAGAAGGAACCGCTGTCCAGGTAGGTCAGTTCAATTCTGTACTTGAGTCACTGACATCCCTGACCCACATGCAAGGCTTTACATACATTCTTGTCAAATGCCATCTGCTGGATTTCAGCTCAACAATCCAGGTGGGAACAACTTTTGAATCTCGGCTCTACCCTGCAACAGATTTGCTTCCCCTCAAAGCTCTGTGTCACTAGCAAATCTTATCAGCATGCCTATACATCTCCATCCAACTAGCGGATGAAAAGACAGACCACACTGGGGCAAGGACACATTCCTGTGACTCAGCCCTGCAGGTTAAAGAGCTGCCTAACTTGTACTAAGCGCTTATAGCACACCAGGTGCCACATTCAGCCCTCCACTTTCGTTACCTTATTTAATCCTCACAAAAAATCCTGGGTGTGGGGAGCCATTATTACCTCCAGTTTACGCACAAACGGTAGCTCAGACATTAGACTACATTTCCCAGCATCCCTTGCGGTTAAAATGGCCAATGCCGGGGCGCCTGGGTGGCTCAGTCGGTTAAGCCTCCGACTTCACTCAGGTCATGATCTCACGGTCCGTGGGTTCGAGCCCTGCGTCAGGCTCTGGGCTGAGAGCTCAGAGCCTGGAGCCTGTTTCGGATTCTGTGTCTCCCTCTTTCTCTGACCCTCCCTTATTCATGCT